TGTCTCCAGCCCTGGGAGCTTTCTTTTGTGTATATTCAGACCAAAGAGGAGAGTGGAAAAACACTGGCAGGGGAGCAGGAGGCAGTGCTTGACACTGCTCTAGCAAGGAAGTCTGCCAGGAACTAAACAAACTGGTTGTCTACCTTAAATAGAACAAATAATGTTTCTTCAGAAAGACAAAAAATTTAAGGCAAGTTTGTAATTTTTTTCTATCAAAAGAACAAAAACAGTTCTATGGCCTCCACTCACCTGAAACAGATCAAGCAACCTCACCATTCCATTGCTCTATTGCAAGGCAGCAGGTCATCCTAAAAATTAAAAACATACCCAAAGTCACCAGATCACAGTCCTCTGCCTTTAACTCAGAACCCAAACAGGGTACAAGATTATCTTCTCTGTTGCTGGATGGTTTGAAACATCCTATTTATGCTGATGAAATGTGCAGATGCATTCTTATGTAATATTTAAGCATGAAATTTTGTTTACATAATTTTGCAGAGTGAAATATTACAAGTTATGCTTAAAAATGGATCTGTAACAGTATTAATTTATACAATTTTTGTTTACAGAGCTTTTCAGTAGCATTTCCAGACAAAGTTGAGAACTTGAAGGAGACACATGCAAAGGACTGAGGACAGGGCCACCAAGGAAGCCATTACTCCGGTGCTTTGGTCCCTGTTGACGAGCACCTCCTCATGGATTCCAATACAGGCTGACTGTGGGTCTCCATTGCTTCCCTCAGTTCTTCTCAGTAAGTAGCATCTCATCATATTCAGCATTTCTGCAGCATTGTGGCAAGAGAAAAAAATTTCTTTTGGCATTTCTGGAAATCAAACCCAGGGCCTCAGTCATGCTAGGCAAGCACTCTAACAGAGCTTCATCCCCAACTCAAGAACAAAAACATTTAAATATAGGTTGAAAATATAGCACACACTAGCATATGTATGTTTGTTACTGAATGACCATCTCTGGGTTCTAAAATACTTGATATCCAAATCAACCTCTAGTTACAGGTATATAGTAATCTATTCAGTCTGTTACATGGAAAGCATACTAAGCAACAGGAGTTAATGCCCAGAAAAGCCCTCATGGGCATTAAATAACTGTCAATGCTCTTTCTGAGCCATAAGCAGGTCTCAAAGGGCTGTCATATACCCATCAGGATTACAAGTGGAAAAAACAAAAAATGATGGGGAAATCCACTAGAAAAAGCCTTCAGAGATGGCAAGATGGCTTAGTGGGGAAAGGGTGCTTGCCACACAAGTTTGGTGACTCGAGTTCAATCCCTGGAACCCTTATAAGAGTGGAAAGAGAGAAGTGACCCCACAAAAAGGCCTTCAGAGTACAGTTATAAGTTGAGAGAAGCCAAGCTTTGGCCCCTTCCAGGGGAACATATATTGTTCAAGTGTAGCTCATCACACACTAATAGCCATGTTTTATTGTCTTCATTTATTGTCTTATCAGGAAGTCCTCAAATTTGCAATCCCCCTGCCTCAGCACCCTGAATGCTGGGATTAAAAACACATGCCATCATACCAGCTTACATTGCTTTAAAAAAATTTCTTTTTAATTTTTACAATTTTCATACAATATAATTTGATGGTATTAAGATCCTCTCCCAATCCACACCTCCCCTTACTGGCCCCACTTAATTTAATGCACTCTATTATATATTTTATATTATACATATATAAAAAAATATATATATATATAATATATAGTCTAATTTGTGTTCCCAAATGTCCTTCAGTGTGGGTATGTTCTAGTTTGTTTCTTCATTGCTGTGACAAAATACTCAGACCAATACCAACTTGGGGAGGAAAGGGTTTATTTGGCTTACATCTCCCAGATCACAGTTCATCAGGGAGCCCAAGGTAGGAACTCATGGCGGGAACCTGGAGGCAGAAGCTGGAGCACAAGCCATGGAGGAACGCCACTTACTGGCTTGCTCCCTGGCCCCTGCTCTACCTGCTTTCTTATGCAACACAGGCCCATCTGCCCAGGGGTGGCACCACCCACACTGGGCTGGGCCCTCCCACATCACTCAACAATCAAGAAAATGCCTCACAGACATGGCCACAGGCCAGTCCAATGGAGGCCATTCCCCAATTGAGGTTTCCTCAACCAGGTGTGTCAAATTGACACTAAAGCTATCCAGCACAGGGTACATCTACTGGAGCCTGGTTAACCTACTTCTTGGTATCTCATGCTAAAGAGATTGACTCTCCCCTTCCCAGTAGCCATTCCTTAGGTAGCATTAGGGTTTCTTACCCACTTCCCCAAGTATATAGGCTGGAGTTTAGTCTGGTTTGAGCTTGCTGGATGGGACCTGTGCATGCTGCCACCACTGCTGCGAGTTCATAACTGCACAGCTGTCCGGAAAACTCGTTTCTTTGAGGTCATCCACCACCTCTGGCTCTTATATAAATCTTTCTGTACCCTCTTTTTCAATGGTCCCTGAGCCTTGGGAATCAGAGGTTTGATATAAGTGACCTATTCAGGAATTAGCGCTCTGCAGCCTCTTGTTCTCTGTCCAGTTGTGGGTCTCTATGTTAATTACCATTGCTGCATAAGGAAACTTCTCTGGTGAGAGCTGAGAGGTGCATTAATCTATGGGTGTATCAATAAGTCATTAGGAATCAGTTTATGGTTTTTTTTTTTGGCAGGGGGGTCTTTTTTGAGACAGGGTATCCTTATAGCCCCAGCTGTCCTGGAACTCACTATGTAGACCAGGCTGGCCTCGAACTCACAAAGATCTGCCTGTCTCTGCCTCCCAAACGCTGGGATTAAAGGCGTGCACTACCACGCCTGGCAATTTATGTTTTTAATGGTGGGCAAAATGACCAACTAGGTAGGTATTTGCCACTTCTACCAACTGGAAGATCTTTCTTAAGATTTGATTTTAGTACTGTTATTGTTATTTTTATTTTATGTGTATGAATGTATTGCCTGCATGTTTGTGAGTGCACCTGTGTCATGCAATGACTCGGAGGCCAGAAGAGGGCTTCAGATTCCCCTGGAACTGGAGTTAAGGGTGGTTCGTAGCTGCCACGTGGGTGCTGGGAATTGAATCCGGGTCCTCTGCAAAAGCAGTCAGTGCTCTTAATAAGAGCCATCTCTCCAGCCCATTTTTTAGTATTTTTAATTGTGTGTGTTTGTGAGATAGCCAGAAAGAGGGTGTGAGATTTCTCTGGAAATCAAGTTATGGGCCTTTGTGTGCTACTTGACAGAAACCTATACTTGCTCTTAATCACTAAGACAACAATTAGCCCAAACCAGAAGATCTTAATGCCTCATTTTCCTTTACTTTTCAGGTTTTGTTTTTTAGATAAGATCTTGCTATGTAGCTCAGGCTGGTCTTGTCTTAGGCTCTCAAGTGCTGGGGTTACAGGTATACAAGACCACACCTTTTTTTTTTTTTTTTTAAAGTAGTGCTAGAGATCAAATACAGGGCTTCATGCACAATAGGCAAGTACTCTGCCAACTGAACTACGTTCCCAACCTGTCTCATTTTATCAAGGCCTGCAGGACAGTATGAAGCAGGAAACAGGCTTGTGTAAGTATCCACCACCACAATGGCACTTCCATGTTAGGTTTGCCCTCGTAGAAAAATGAGTCCCACCTCCATGATGCTGCAATGAAAATGTAAATAAGTCAACCTCATGTGCCTGTGTGTGTGCAGGTACACATGGACACCAAAGGTCCTTTGCTAATGAGCTCCATGAGTCTACCTGTCTTGCACCCCTCCCCCTCATCCCCTGGAAATGCTAGGGTTACAGATGTGCCATGTCTGAATTTTATATGGATGCTGGGGATCTGAACTCGGGCACCTCACCAACTGAGCCATCTAACCAGTCCCATGTCAACCTTCTTTACAGCTAGTTCTATAACAAAATCTCCAGCTAGTGGTTTAATACAAACAAACCTTTTACCCCGTATAAGAAACCTTTCAGAGCTTTATCTAGAAGTAAAAGAAACAAACAACAGTCACTGAAATGGGGTAGAACACTTCATGCAGCCTTTCCTCACTGCTCAGGCTCTACGCCCCGCCCCCTTCTCCAAGCCCTGGGACTACAAAACTACCAAGATGGAACCTTGTGTTGGTTGCAGTTTCAGTTTCTTTCTCCATAGATTCAAGTTTCTCTAAGGTCAGCTTCAAAGTTAACACATACAGAAACAAAATATTTTGTTTTCTGACAATAATAAGTTTGTAATCAGGTGTACAGAAGGCACAAGCTAGATGCTGGATTTATCCATCACATCAGTATTTGACAATATACAAGGTAGGATGATGAATACACTTGGAGAACTACAAGAAAAAATCCTGAGCTTTGTCATTTGCTAGCGGCATAATTTTGGGCAACCAACAACTTTAAGTTAACACACATAGAGATCATGGTTCCCACTTGGGGAAGGGATAGTTCAGATATACACTGACCTCCTGCCAGTAGAGATTCTACCTTGCCGAGGTTCCTGAATAGTTATCAAGGGTTGTGAATGGTCTATGCATGTAAAGCTAATGAGGGAATAGAGATGTAGCTTGCCTACTATGTACAACGTCATTCCCAGTACCATATACCAGGTGTGGAAGTACACACCTGTAACTCCAGCATTTAAGAGGTAGAGGCAAGAAGATCAGAAATTCATGGCTACATAGCAAGTTAGAGGCCAGCCTATTTCAAAAAACAAATAGGGCTGGAGGAAGTTGTGGAAGGAGGACTGCTTCAAGTTTGAGACTAGCTTGGGTTAGAGAGTAAGTCCCTGTCTCAAAACACCAAGAATAACAAAACAACATTCTCAATAGAAGGTGAAGACTAGAACAGTGGGCATCCTGTTCTGCTGCTGGGTGATCAAGTTAAGAATCTAGATTACTGAAAAGGCCAAAACACTACTACTCTTGATGGTACACTGGAAATCAATCACTATTTTCTGTTGGCCCCAGAACCCCCAGACAAGAGATATCACAGCAACTGCAGGAAAACTGCAAACCACTAGGAGTTATTCTTAAAGAGATTTAATTATCTGAATTGCATAAAGGGGGATAGTACATTTAAATCTCTGCTACATCACAAACTGTGTTTTGATGTTTTATTAAAGATCCACTAGTTCTACCCACCTTCAAGTTTATGGCTATTGAATGTGAAGAAAACAAATATTTGCAACAAATTATGCAAAGTAAGCAGAGCCTGTTGTGTTCACCAGGATGTCGTCCCCTCTGCAGAACAGAGGAACAGGAAACAGCTATGGGCTGTCTACAATTATGAGGATGGACAAAATTCTACAGAGTCAGGAAAGGAATCCCAGAAATGCAGGGCTGGGTGTTCCCAGGTTTTCCCTCAACCCATACAATAGAACTGACACTCTATGAGGATGAAACCAACATCATAACCCTCAAACAGATTTCCTTGTCAATTCAAATACAATCACGGTATTGTTTCCACAAGGAGGATTGATTTGGATGGAGACTGGAGTGATTTAAGGAACACTCCAACAATCTGAGAGCTTATTCAAAAGAGCATGGCTTAAAAGTCACATTCTAGTCATTGAAGACTGAGTGGTTCTTTATTAATGGGGCCTGAAGTATGTATAGGCCCACCTAAAAGAACAGGCTACAAAAGAGGAAATCTCCTTGTGTCTGCAGGCTAACACACTTCTACTGCAGCCTGCGTGGGAGAAGCAAAATAAGCAACCCCTTCTGGTTCTGTAAGCCCATGAGGTGGAGGGGTAGAAGAAGCTGTAGTCTGACGTTATAATAGGACCAAGGATTTATTATTCCACAATATAAACTGCAACATTTCATACAATCTACCAAAAAAAAAAAAGGGGGGGGGGAGGAAAGGGCAAGGAGAAAGCCAAAATACAGCTGTGGCAATTACTTACAGCGCAGTCTCTTTTCTACATCACTAGTTCATCAGTGACACTAGAAACTAGACATTTGCGTTCTGTACATTAACCATTGCTAAAGCACCAATACGCTGTTCAGAAGTTTTTTGTTTTGTTTTAATTCCAGCCACTGACACCAACATAGAAGTTATTGCTCAGATAAATAAACGTAGCTTACCAGAAAATAAAAAGAAAAGTAGGTGAGAAAGAAAAACAAAAAACCCAAAGTGAAAAACTTAAAACTCCCCAGTATGGTAACAGAGTAAACAAGAAAGATTGCTCAGTGAGGGTTTACTGGAATTTCTGGTGCCCCCTCTGGGTCCTGAAACTGAGTTGGACTCTTAAGTCGGTATATCCCAGACAGAAGTACAATGTTAATGCCATACATGAAAAGGTGCAAACTCCAATACCTTCAAAGTCAGTAGAGACCCCTGCAAAAAACAGTCAGCATTTTAAACTTGAACAACCACAAACAGCTCTTAAGGAAAAAAATACAAAAAGTGTCAAAAATTTTTTTAGTTGTTTTTTTCTTTTTTTCAAAGAGTTCTGGAAAAATGATCCCGTAAGGAATAGAAATAGCACCGTGTACAGGCTGGCTTGATACCAGCCCTGTAGTTTTGCTGAGATTTGAGGAAATCTTCTTTGTTGGAGTCCTGAATTACATGAAGTGGGGGTGTTTGTTTTGTTTTTACTTTCGGCTTGGTGTGTCCTTTCCAGTACAGCGCACACAGATGTAGTCTTCTTTCTCTGCCATCTCTGGAGAGACACCAACACAGACCTGATGAAACCACTGATTGCAGCTGCCATCACACTGGACCCAGTCCACCTGGTTACAAAGAGCAGGGAGATGGGGTGTTCAGAGGAAAAAATGCCATTCAAAATCGGGCAGGCCAGCCTCAAGATATTCAGGCCATTTGCCACTAATGGCCACTGTCCCACCATTGGGACCTCTGGCACAACAGCTAAGCCACATGAGTGTAGCTGTCCCACCAGCCAAAGCAACTGAGTCAAAGTCATTCTTCAAGTTGTGCCTGCTTTGGGGTAAGACAGTGCTGCCCTGTGATAGTAAGCAAAAGGGTATTTCATCAGCATCCCTCCCACCTTCTGAGCGCCGGGACGGTGAAAGCTGGAGGAGCAAGAGAAGGAAAAAAGGGAAGAACGAGTTTCTTCAAGAAAAGGGAGGAGACCCAGGAACGATGGTTAAAAGCAGAGATATCAGTAGGGGAAGAACTGAGCAATCCATTCAGATCAGCTCAAAGCAGATAAGCAGAAGAGAAAGACCCAGCGAGATGAGGTCTAGCTTACAGGGTTTCTGAGTTAAGGGAAAGCACGTCCTCTATGGCCCAAACCTCACTGACCTCATCTCCTTCTGGCTGCAGGCAGCTCACAGCTGGACAGATGGCATCTTCATCCTCAGAGTCCTCCTGTTCAGAATAGGATGTGTCTGAGGGCAGGGAGTGAGTTTCGGCATTACGGACTAAGTCATAGCTACGCTCTCTTTCTAATTTAAAATTGTTCATGTCCTTGGGGTGGCTCAGTTTGATTTTCTTCTTTTGAGGGGTCCGCATTTTTTTAACTCGATCCCACCGCTCATTGGAAAGGCCTTCTCTTTCCAGGCGTCTCTTCAGTTTTCTCTCAAGACTGTTGATTCCATCTCGCTTTCCTCGAAGGCAGTCATTCTGATTGGAAGATGACAAATTCAACGTTAGTCTTCAGTTTACCCATTACTAAAACTGATGCAGTTCAAGAAAATACGTGAATGAGAAACTAGAAGATCCCTCAGTATACTACTGCAAACAGACTATCCTATCCTAACCACCACCACCATCTCCCGACTCCTCATCCAAGGACAATCAGTTTAACTTCCCACCTACTCAATGTTAATGATACTGAAGAAACACTGGAAAAAGTATTAAAGATATAATTTACCTTCAAAGTAGTCAACTAGTACCAGGAGATGAAAGACTATACCCATAGAGCCTTCTTTTCACCAAATCCTTAAAAAGTTTCTAAGTGTTTGTTTCTTTCTTGACCCATAGGCTTTTCCTTTTTCTTTCGTTCTTTTTTTTTTTTTTTTTTGGTCTTTTTGAGACAGGGTCTCTCTGTAGCCCCAGCTGTCCTGGAGTCACTATGTAGACCAGGCTGGCCTTGAACTCACAGAGATTCGCCTGCCTCTGCCTCCTGAGTGCTGGGATTAAAGGTGTGTGCCACCATGCCCGGTGACCTATAGGCTTTTAAGGATTCAAGTCAATGCGTTCCTTCCTCAAGGACAAATATTGTACCATTTACAGGAGTAAGGTCATGAATTGATCACAGTCAGCAATGGTGCTTTATTATTTGGTATCTAAATGTTTGATCAACCTTCAGGAGGTCATTAAATGGTCACAGTCTTCCTAGCAGGTTTTTATCCTGACTACATTCTCTGGGGCTTTATATGTGACAGCCCTAGAAGGAAGCAGCAGCATTCTTAACTATGCTAATAAATAGGACATTATAGGGGTTGGGGAGATGGTTCACTGGTTAAAACTGTCTCCCCCAAACCCATGTAACTGCTAAGTGGGTGTGGTGGCTTGCCTGTGATTACAACCTTGGAAGGCAGAGACGTGGAATTCCTGAAGCAAGCTGGCTATTGAGAATAGCCTATCTGCCAGTTCTGGGTCCAACTGAGAGATCCTGTCTCAGTGAATAAGGTGGAAAGCAATCAAGAAGTATTCCAGACATCAACCTTGGGCCTCCACATACATGTGTATTCATGTGCATATACATACACGTGCACATGTACCTCCCCCCCACAGACACATAAAGGGGGGGTGGGAAATCAAGACATTATACAATATCCCATAGTATTTAAGATAATCACATCATCTTTCATGTCAACTGTCTTATCTTACTGGTTTGGAGGATTAATGAATAGCATTTGTTTAACGTGGACTCTAGGAGTATCTTTCAATTTTAAAATCTTTACTAACAAAAGGCCCTCCCAGCTATAGTTGTATTTTTATTTTTATAGTATTTCTTCTACAGAGCAAAAATAATCCTACTTCTTACTATTATCACATGGGCTGTAAGAACAGTTTCCTAAAAAGGAAAAATTCAGACTCGAAACAGGACTCAAATCTAGGCTGTGAAGCCCAAACTGCTGCAGATGATGTCTACTGTCTATCTTCTTGCAGATAGCCTTGAGAAATGGAGTCATGAGGCACAGTTTGTGCATGCTTCTGTGGATCAAAGATACAACCATCTCTTTCGCCAAACCATTAGGTAGGATGACACTGAAAAGCACACCGCTGAGGCTTTGCTTCCCAGCAGCTTCTCACTCACCTTCTCACTACTGGATCTAACTGGTGAGCTTCGGTCAATTTGCTGAGTGGGGCTTGGTTTTGCAAGTAAAGTCTGATAAAGTTCCTGAATTTCAGGAAGGGATACCTGGAGCAACTGGGCTTCCATCAACAATTCATTCACTTCTGGACTCATACCTGTTAAAATCAAGTAACAGAGTGTTTTACACATGCACATTAAAGCCTACGGGAACCACAGGACATACCACTTCCCTCTTCTGCTTTAATTGCACTTTTTTTTTTTTGGTCTTTTTTGAGACAGAGTCTCCCTGTATGTAGCCCCAGCTGGCCTGGAACTCAGAGATCTGCCTGCCTCTGCCTCCCAAGTGCTGGGATTAAAGGTGTGGGCTACCATGCCAGGCTAATTGAAGTCATTTTAAATTAGGTTTACTTAATGTTCCTAAACCACAATGCGCAAGAGGCTAAAGGAGATTTCCTAAGACTTTTGGTTACAAAGTAGCTACTCAATCAGAATTCATTCCTTGCACATTGGTTAATACAAGAGATAGGGTCTTCTACCTTGATAGATTTTATTGTCAAGAAATAAACTGCTGGCCTAGGATATGAACAATCTGAGTAGAACAAGGAGCTACGACCACAGGACTAGACACACTGATTAAGGATTAATGTTCCAAATGAGGGTTGGAAAGGTGCATCAGTGGTTAAGAGCACTGGCTGCTCTTGCAGAAGACCTAGGTTTGAATCCCAACACCGCAGCTAACAACTGTCCGCAACTCCAGTTTCAGGGGACCCAGTGCCCTCTTTTGACCTCCACAGGAATGGCATGCATGGGTGCACTTACATACATTCAGGCAAACCACTCATACACATAAAAAATTAAAAAGAGAAAAGATTCAAATTGAAGCTTTAGGCAGAAACTTGGAGTGGTTATTTATAAGGAAGGTCATGCATGGTGGTGCACACTTATACAAAACCTAGTGCAAGGTGGCCTACTACTATCTAGGAATAATAGTAATAATAAAATACAAACCATGGAGGGGGATACAACTCCGTCCAGTAGAGAAAGGAGAGTGTAAGTAGGAGGTTCTGTTGTCCCAGTCATCGGGCAAGGAAAAGGATGTTGTGCCAGGAGGTTGTGACACCTAATGGAAGAGAAACATCCACATCAAGGCCTTTCAGGATTGAAAATACTACCAGTCCAAGGAAAGCAGCTTTCCAGAAGAAAGACTTTATTTTCCCCAAATGAAAAGTCTCCCCTGGTATCTTAGAACTGGCTAAATCGACCCTCGTAGAAACCAAGCCTTTCTCCTTGTCAGGTTTACTCAAACTGATCAGAGAGAGGTAAAGAAGATCATTGGGAAATAAGCCATCTTCTTTTGTGTGCGAACAGATCAGGCAATCTTTCAATCCTTATGTAACTCTTTATTGAGGATTAGAATATAACAAATGTAAGCATGTGGCCCTTTGAGTAAACCAAGTAAGAACCTGCCAAAAATCATTCACAGTCCTCTGACCATGAAGTAATAAACAGCTCACAACAGTTGTGAGCTGAATGTGGTGGCACATGCCAGTAATCCCAGCACTTGGAAAGAACAGCAAGAGGATCAAGAGTGTAAGGACGCCATGAAATACTTTAAAACAAAACAAACAAACAAAAACCAAGGAAGCAACAATTGTTTCTTTTCCTTTTTATTAATAAAAGGCACATCCTTGGCAAAGGAATATAAGTGACTCTGCTGTTGGCTGCCCAAACAGTTACAACTCATACATGCAGCAAGTATCTAATTATCATTTGCTGTTTTAGAAGCTTGAAAAGAAAAACAAACAAGAAATAAGACAAATTCCTTTTTTTTTGGGGGGGGGGGGCAGGGGGGGTCCTTATCTACAACCTGCTAAGCATATAACTCCTGTAAACAGGAGCATATGGACATAAAAGTTGTGAATCCTCCCTCCATCTTCTCCTCTCTCCTTTGGGATATGGTGGAGCAAACCCAGAGCTTTGCACATATTAGGTCATCATCCTACCTCAAAGTTGTTTTGAGTTTTCTCTCTCCAGACTGGTCTAAAATTCCTATGCTCTAGTGGTCTTCCCTGCCTCAGCCTTCTGAATAGCTAAGGATATAGGTGAATATCAACGTGCCCAGTTTGTGAATATTTCTGATAAATATATATATATAAATATATGATTTGAAATATATAAAATATAAGATTTGAAGTATATATATTTAAAAATCAAATTAGCCATAATCATATAAAAAGATTAGATGGTGGCTAGAGAGATGGCTCACCAGGCCATCTCTTATTTTTTTTTCTCTTATTTTTCTCTTTATTTTTTTATCTCTTTTATTTTTATAAAAAATGCTTACCCAGGCATGGTGGTGCACGCCTTTAATCCCAGCACTTGGGGAGGCAGAGGCAGGCGTATCTCTGTGAGTTCAAGGCCACCCTGGTCTACATAGTGAGTTCCAGGACAGCTGGAGCACAGGGAGACCCTGTCTCAAAAAGACCAATAAATAAATAAATAAATAAATAAATAAATAAA